TTGTTTGTTTGTTTGTTACTGGAGATTGAACTCAGGACCTTGCACTTGCAAGGCAGGTGCAGCACCACTGAGCTAAATCCCTGGCCAGAGACAGAGTCTTGATTTGTAGTTTAGGTTGGCCTAGAAATCACTATGCAGCCCAGGCAGGCCTCAAACTCACAGCCATCCTCCTGCCTCAGCCTCCTGAGTGCTGGGATTACAGGTGTGTCCCACCATGCCTGACTTGCTATTTAATTTTTTTGTCAGTGCTATAAGCCCTGTTAGAAGATTCTATTTTACCTCAAAAGTAAAAAGCTAAATTATATGTAAAAATTTTGTTATAACTATGTTGCTATTGTTGACTTCTTTGTTAAATGCATATATAGTTCCCAAATGTACAAGCAATGAAAATGTTAGAACTTTGGAAACTTTTAGAGATGGACTAAATGTCTTTGCATAAAGGGAAATGCATGAGTCTTTGAGGGGCCAGGGGCAGAATGTTATAGCTTGTGTCTAGATGCCCCCCAAAGCCTCATGTGGTCATAGGTGGGGCTTTTCAGAGGTGGCTGGATCTACAGTGTATGATGCTGAGATTGATTCCTGGTACAATGCTAGGATTAACAAAACTGGGATTAAGGGTGTGTTATGATTACTACATTAGTCTACTGATTAGTTTGGCACCTGCCCTAAACCAGGTAGCCTAGATAGCCTATAAAAGGGGCAAAAAGAGTTGCTATTGATGCTTGTGGCTGGTCACTTGTTTGCTTTTGCTGCCTTCTGCCTGCCTTGAACTGTTTCTCCTCTGTGATGCCTCCCTGCCATGCCACCCTGCCTTGGAGCCAGCCAACTATGAATGGAAACTTCTATGAGCTGTAAGCCAAATAAACCTTTCCTCTTTTAACTTTGGGTGATGAGTGTTTTGTCTCAGCAATGAGGAAAAGTAAGACAGATGACTTGTACATCTTACATCAGCCTGAAGAATTAGGGATATCAAAGACTTAGCCATCAACTTGTGGCCACTTAACTTTCTCAGTGGCCAGCTGTCACTGTATAGAGCCTACTCCTTTTTCTACCTTTACTAAATGTAAAATCTTGCTATCTTTTTGGCATGTCTTATCTAATTATTTGTTCAGGATTCTAAGGACCTGGAAAGACTCTATAGAACCCCAAAACCTGATAACAGTAGAGCATCTCCAGGTTCAAACCCCAGTACTAGGGGGAAAAGGGGGAGGGGTGAACCGAATACACCAGAATTTACAGTTGATGACTATGACTCCAATTCTTGATGTTGGTTTTATTAAGAAGAGGCAAGGGCCAGGGATTTAGCTCAGTGGTGCCACATCTGCCTGGCAAGCACAAGGTTCTTGATAGGTCTCCCACTACCTCAGCAGCTATTATGTATAGTAGCTGCCCTCTTCCTATAGTGCCTTGCCCCCTCCCCTGTGTGACATCATGCCAAGATGGTTGCTCCCACCAAAGAATAAACCCTTCTTC